AACACGCTTAAATATTGGTGTTTTGGTGGTAAATGGTGCACCTACCACACATGCTTAGTCCGGTGATCGAATCCGTGATTGGCCCAGGCTAACCAAGCCCTCATTTTCGCCGGGGTTGGGCGATACCAGGTCTGGGAGTATAAAAGTGCTGGCTTCATTAGTTCATTGTAGTAGTAGTTCATTGTATTAGCCATACACGCAACTGCGATCCTCATCGGGAGCCAAATGCGGGGCGCATCCTAGAACGGGATCGATTGTCGTTTAAAAACTACATCCTCTGGACTTCAATGTCCGTTGAAATCGCATGTTTGATGAAATTTCTATTTTGTTAAAGTTTCGGCATCTCGAATACAGTCCCTATGGAAAGTAAAGACATCCAGGCTGCCCAGAGTTAACGAAAAAAATGTTCAGTGGGAACCCGTTCCCCTCCCCACTCTTCTCCCCTCCCCTCACGCTCCCGAAAAAACCTAGAAAACGGTGACAACTCAGATGAAAATTCGCTTTTTAGAGACGGTTGCGTGAATGCGTCCAACTTCTCGAAGACTACCAAAAAGGCATAGCCAAAGCCTCTGATCAGGAACTATGGCGAGCTCAAAAGGTCAAACAAGCAATACTGCATCCGGACACTGGCGAAAAGGTTCTGCCACCTTTCAGGATGAGTGGATTCGTACCATTCGGGTGGATAACGGTGAGTAAAGCGTGATGTTTATCTAGTCGTTTTTTTTCTTTAGATTCATCAATAGGCAAAATTTTAGGTGACAGGGATGTTACTGCCCAACCCTTCTTGGCCAACACTCCTGTTTTGGCAATGGATGAATCAGTCTCACAATGCTTGTGTTAACTACGCTAACAGAAACGCTACACAGGTAATTTTATAGCTAAGTCACTTCACAGACGGATAACCAGACGGATAACCAATGGGGAGATAAGGAAAGTTGAGAGCGCAGGGTATGGTGTAGAGACTTAAGATAGAACTGAGTTATGTGAATCTTGTTGAAAGATCCTATATCGCTATTTTGCCATCCACGACCATGAAGTAGCGCAAAATGGAATCCTGCTGAATCCCGGGACTTATTCTGGTTCGAACGAATCCGTACTTCACTGAAAAGCTACTTTTTCCCACCGGCTCCTGAAAATGCGCCCAACATTAGAATCTCTATCTTACGCCTTCCTCCTATAGGTTCATGGTATCATCTGCAACTACCAATTTCAGAAAACAAACTATCCTTCTTCAATGTAATGTAGCTTTTCAGCCACAACCGCTTTCCACTTATCTAGGAGCCTATGGAGCTGCAGTCACAGCAGCTTGTTCCATTTCAGCAGGTACCATTACTTTTTTGCTCGGTCTTCTTCTTAAAGTAGTACTACTGACTACGAGATTTGTGCATTTAGGTCTTACCTATCTGGTAAAAAAGTCAAAAACTATGCCTCCCACTACTCGAATGATCGTTCAGGTAAGAGCACGGTGGTAGTTAAAATTGCATTTGAAACTTTAACGGCAAAGTCTAGAAATCTAGAATTACAAATCTGGAAGTGGCATAGAGATGATTCCTATTTTCTTGCAAAGAAAACCGAGATTCATACAAAATATCTCCAGGCTAGAATTGCGTACACCTATTTATTTCCTAAAAATTTTTTAAAAATTTTCAAAATTTCTGAAAACTTATCTCAATATTTCAATTTACCTCAATAATTCCTTATGCCATTCATTTTTCTAATTAGCACCTGTAAAAAGCTTCAGAGAAATGACCATTAAAGTTCAAATCCGTAATGCAGTCTTATTTTCTGTGCCACATTTTTTGTCACATCTCGTAGCTGTTGCTGTTTATTGTTTACTGATTAACGGTTTGATGACTACCGTACTTTCAGGGATAGAAAAGTACGCAATATAGTCTTATTCGACATATTTTTTGTTATTTTGGCTTATTTCTTGCATTAATTTTTGTTTTATATGAATTTATTATTATTTTTATTTGACTTTTATTTTATTTTGATTTTTGTTTTCTTATTGATCATGCCCTCTGACCAAAAATATTTTGACGGATTCTCCCACGCAAACTACTG